TCCAAACTGTTTTCCACAGTGGCTGCACCAAACTGCATTCCCACCAGCAGTCTAGGAGGGTTCCCTTTTCTCCACAGCCGCTCCAGCATTTGTCATTGATTCTTTTGTCTAGAAATAAGCTCAAAGCAACACAACTGCTGGAATGGTGGCAGAGTCGATATTCCCACCTAGAACCCAAAATACCATTTTGAAGAGTAGGTTGTAAACAGTAAGTTCACACTGTATAGCACAGGGAACTATATTCAATATCTTGCAGTAACTTATGTTGAAAAAGACTATGAAAATGAATATATGTATTTTCATATATGACTGAAGCATTATGCTGTACAGCAGATATTGACACAACATAGTAAACTGATTATACTTCAATAAAAAATATATATATATATACACACAAAGTGTAGGTTGAATTCAAAAATCAGGAATGGTGGGGGGAGGGTATAGCTCAAGTGGTAGAGTGCATGCTTAGCATGCATGCGATCCTGGGTTCAATCCCCAGTACTTCGTCTAAGAATAAATAAGTAAACCTAATTAGCTCCCCCTACCAAAGAAAAAAATGTACCTAGAGACAAGTGTTTAAGTCTGTTTGGGCTGCCATAACAATATAACAGAGTGGATGGCTTATAAATAACAGCGATTTATTTCCCACAGTTCTAGAGGCTGAGAAGTCCAAGGTCAATATGCCAGCAGATTCGCAGTCTGGTGAGTATCTCTTTACTGGTTCATAGATGGCCATCTTCTCTCTGTGTCCTGACATGGTTGAAAGGCTGTGAGAGCTCTGTGGGTTCTCTTTATAAGGACACTAACCCCATCATGAGGTCTCCAACCTCATGACCTAGTCACTTCCCAAAGGCCCCACCTGCTAGTAGCATCACATTGGCAGTTATGTTTCAACATATGAATTTTGGGGGGACAGAAACATTCAGTTCCTAACAACAAGAATGCATTACTATTTATTTGTAAAGTAGCCAGTATTGTTAATATGTACTAATTATATGGTAATATTAGAGCTTATTCGCTTAATTGAACTGTATCCATTTTGATCAATAAAATCTTACATGAAAGAACTTAAACAACAAAGTTGAATTTAAAAAGACAGTAAAACATTAAGTAGAATAGGTATCAAAAGTTGAGTCTTCTAGTGAACAGAAAAATACCTCAAGTGATTACAATACTGTACTTTTGCTAATATTGTGCTAGAAGAATGTGTCCCCCCAGTGAGCAAGGGAAAGATATCTTCCTAAACTTGGTTGAGGTGGATGCCTGGTTTTAGAAAAGCCAACTTCACCCTGACCTATGCAGCCCTGGGAAAGAAGGGGGCTTGTAGCTTGCCCTGCTGGTGATGTCAGCAGATTGTGCGCTGATTCCATAGAAATTAGCTAGCTGAGGAGGAGTGGGTGGATCTTTCCATTTTGCTTCTCTAGTAAACCTCTCATGATTTTCCATTCACTTTCTGATCTACATGTTGTCTTGTTAATTTTACAAACATCTTACATACTCAAAAAAACTAATAGGAAGAAAAAGTCATTCAACAAATATTAATAGTGCAAACAAAGGGTTTTATTATATTATTTAATGAAGATGAGCAGCAATTTTAATACAAAATTCTTTCTCAAGCCCTCTGACAGACCTCAAGCTCAGTTTCCCCCTTCATGTCTAGGAAGGTACAAGTAAAACACTTTGGCAGGCATAAAAGACATAAAAAGCTTCTCGTTAGGGTGTATCAGTAGCCAGGGAGTTTACACCCCGTTGGGGGTCATCTGACTAAGGCATGAAAGAAACCACATCCCCAAGGCAGTTTCCATAACCTATCCAGAGAAGGTGACCAAGAATTCATCAGGCAAACCAGGACATGGTTGGAGTGAAAGCAGGTGCTGTTAATAACTACACCAGAACACCAGATGTAAGTAAATCAGGAGTGGCAAACCGGGATACACCTTATGAATACACCCTTTATATCTCTAAGATACAAGGGCAAGTCGGGCATTCTGTGAGTTGGTTCTCACTCCAATTTGGAAGACTCACTGCAATAGAATTTTGCACTAACAATTTGCAAGAGGCCTAGGAGGGAAGCCTTTGTGCCCTGGAAAATGCATATCTTGTGTGTTTACCTTTTAAAGATAACTGTGGTTTGAAACAGATAAATTATATAAAGCTAACATAACTTTTCCCCCATATTAATCTTTTAAAGAATTTTATTCATTTCCTAGGGCATATGTGCTTTCCATTTCCAGAGAAGGCATGCACTCTAGAAGCAATGTTTTCATGCCCTCCCTTTTTAAAGATGAGAGATATGCCCCCAAACTTACACATACACTCCAACCCTATTTTTTCTACTGAATTTATTAGTTATTTTTAATTGTGGTAAAGTACATATTAAAAAAATTTACTGTCTTAACCCTTTCCAGTGTATAGTTCTGTAGTGTTAAATATATTCATCCAACCCTATCTTGCAGGTCAGATGACTAGCATATTAATGAAAGAAATATACTAGTAAATGCAATATTGAATTTGGACACAGGCTTATAGACAGTTAGAAATGTTCCAAGTACTTATAAGCAAGGGCAACAGTGGCATGGATTCCTCAGTATGTGTAAAATTTTCTAAATTTTAGCCTATCTTACAAGTTTCTCTCCCTATTACTATAGCAAAACTCTTCTAAACCACTGTAGAAATGAGATTTATGTTGATCACCTGCATTGCATGGAACCTCAACTAATGAAATAAAGTTCCAACAGTTTTAAAGAGAAGTCAAGATAGTTCTGTCATTGTGGAAAATATTATTGTATTCTATGAAACAGTGTACAAACAATGCAAATTAATACTATAAACCATATTATATACTATTATTATTATTAGTCTTTGAAAAATACTTCTGTAAACAGATCATAAAAGGATTTTAAGTTCTAGGCACTTAATTTGCTTTAAAATACTCTGCATATGCTTTTTATATGATCAAGCCTTAAATAAAACATCTGATATTCAGAAATGCAAAAGGATTTCTGGATACAAGTAAATCCTTGTTTTCTTAGGAATTACAAAATATTTTTTCTATTATTATAATTTGATAGTAAGTAAGTAATCATATCACTTATTAGTAATGACAACTAAAGATTAAGGCAAAGATACCCATTGAGAAGGCCTTGTAAAAGATTACACATTCATGTTTTAAAATAAGATATACCTAAAACCATTGTCAATGTTCAGCCAAGAAGTACCAATCTTGGCCCTGTGGCTGTTTCTGAAAAGCCTGCATTCTGGATGGTCAGTGTCTGTGCCTTATCGGTTGTTAAATATTTTTATTATCTATCACCCCTACTTACAATTCTATAGAACCAACAATTGATGAACATAAAAAGACAGCTCAAAAATGTCAGACATAAAAAGACATGACAATTACCAACAGATTGCTGTAAGAGAAAATTGTGTCTTTTGCTGGTACTTCAGTGGTAAATATCATTATCAATAAAAGTAAGAATTTGTTTAGCAAAGAGCTTCCCTCAAAGACTAAGGAGCACTGCCATACCAAGAAAGGCACATCTATAATTATTAAATGCTGGCATTTAGAGGAGTCTAATTAACAATTTTTAAAGAACTAGTATGTATTTAAGCAAGACACCACCTAGATAATGGTGTCTTAGGGGCTCACTTGGCTGGTGGATGGTTTGGGTTTTGTTTATTTGTTTGTATATTCAGCACATAGTCGTGACGGAAGGATGAGCGGACAGTGCGATTCATTAGGGGCTGAAGGGGGCGGAAGTTGTCCACCATTCTTTGCTCTTTCTCGCCCTCGGAAGTGAAGAGCAGGGTCCGAAATTGCTCAAGCTAGAAATAGAAACAGGAAGCATAAATAATTTCAATAGAAAAACAGCTTTACTTCACAAATAAATTACTTTCATTTTTACAACTCTGAAACATTCCTCTAAAATTGGATACAGAAAATTTTATTTCTGAGTAGGAACACCTTCACTGCTGGACAGGGAATAAACTGTCATGTGAGGAAAGGAGCAGGAGGTGGTGAAACCAGCAGGGCACTTGGGATCCAAAGACTGAGGTCAAAGACACTGTCCCCCACATATTAGCCATTTGCCAAGGACAAGTTACTTCATCTTTTGTTCTCAGGAACCTCATCTTAAATGGGCAAAAGAGCCAGCCTACAGGATAATGAGGGAAAGGCTTGATGCATGTAGTAGCAGTGCCAAAAATGTTTTACTTTTTCAAAATTTTACTGACTTGTTAACATAAACAATATAGTCTTGATTGCTCGCCATGCCTGGACGTTGTGGGCAACGTGATACAGGTGGAGGTCTTAACAGGCAGCGGGATGCCCCCTGCCAGCACTGTCCAATAGAACATTCCGCGATGATGGCAGTGTCCTCTCTCCTGTTTGTTACAGTAGCCACAAGCCACATATGGCCACTGAGCACTAGAAATGTGGCCAGTGGGACTAAGGAACTGAATTTTTAATTCAATTTCAATTTAAATGTATTGACATTTAAATTTAAATGCCCACACATGTCTAGCGGCTACTGCCCTAGACAGCGCA